ACGAGACACCTTTACAAAATCTCGGATGTCCTAACTGTGCGTCAACTATATCTCTTGAGCATTATACTTAAACAGCACGCATTACTTCCTTACAATCCCTCACCCCCAAATAAACGCCTGATGCACAAAGTCTGTCCCGCAAATGATAAGGGCAATAGATGGTTTACATCCTTTGCTCGCAAATTCTTTGGTTGCCTAGGTAGATACATATACAATAAAGTTAACCAGATATTGCATATATATTCATGTACAAAATACGGTTGCAAAACCGCTGCCACTCGCTGGCTAAAGTCCCTTAGCTATGAGGAAACAGAGAGCCTGTTACAGGTCCCGTCTTGAAATGCGCTGTCCCCCTAGAGTTTAGGATCCACACAAATACTCAAACCACACTACACACCCACTCCCCTACACACACGCTACACACACACCCACATATACACACATTCACATACTATGCGTTCTCATTCACTTCACATAATAATAACTACTCACTCCTAAACAGGTTGTACCTGCTTAACGCACCACAACCGTCCAGAGCTAGGGGAGGCTGGTAATTTGTCATACAGGTCTACGAACCTAGTACAGATACCAGTCTCTCACACAGACTCACTCAAAATAACCTAGAGTAAGATTGTTTATTGTAACCATATCTGTGTGAGAGAGAACAATAAAAAAATATATATTATTATTAAGAATGTCATTAAATATAGATAAATGCTTCCACATACAATTCACACGAAATAAAAACAAACAAGGCTACAAGTATAGCATTGATGGTATTCCACTTCAAAGTACAAACAAAGTTCGGGACCTGGGCATTACAATAGATGCAAGTTTAAAATTTGACATACATATTCTTAATACAGTCGCGAGAGCGTTTAAGTTGCTGGGATTTGTATTGCGCAGTAGTAAAGATTTCAAAAACCCATGCACTAAGATATTCTTATTCAATTCCCTAGTTAGGCCAGTGTTGGAATACAACACCATTGTATGGAATCCCCATTACGAAGTGTACAATAAACGTCTTGAAAGTGTCCAAAAACGGTTTCTTTATCACCTTTGCTACAGTGACTATAATGCTAAGACACTATCTAGCTACACCGAAAGGCTCAAACACTACAATATGCGCACACTCAATAGCCGCAGGCAGTACCTTGATGCTATTTTTCTTTATAAGTTGTACAATGGTTACACAGACTGCAACGAGCTTATGAGTAGCCTATCTATAAATGTACCATCACGTCTACCAAGGATAGGAGCCTACAGTCTATTTTCTGTCCGCTCAGCAAAATCAAACCTGGGTCACTACGCCGCTGTGCCTAGGCTCTGCAGGCAATATAATGTGTTGTCTAAAACTAAAAACCTAGATCTCAGTATCTCATTTTTAAAATATAAAGGTTCCTTAAAAAATATTTTGCAGTGATATGTTAGTTATAGTTATATGTTTATTTGTTGTCTGCCTACATGTTAATTAGCTATCTATAGTTACATCAAAATTGTGTTCATGATTTAGATTTATGTGCGATCTGTATGTAATATATAGGTTTATTATAACTTGTCACTAATGTTTGCATGCTGTGGTCTCCTATAATTGAGGGAGTACACCGAAAGATTACTGTGAAGTATTTATAGTAAGTCATAACAACTGTGTATATCCTTTGTTGGAGATCCTTAAATTATATAAATAAATAAATAAATAAATAAATATTGCTTTTTCTTTAAAATATAGGTTTTTGGGAAAAAATAGATATTAAAGTATATAATTAAACACGGTTTTCAAATTTAGTCAACTAGCCTATTCAGCAATTCAACAAAGCGGATTGACCGTAGTAGTAACTTTGGTCAAACTGCTTGTTATATAATTAGTGCATTCATTAATCTTAGCGAAATTAATTTGTATAGAAACCTTTATTTAATCCTCCTGCACGGATGGCATTGTGCGCCATGCCGCTTTCTACTATGTTGAGTGTCGTGAGTTCAATCCCCACATGGAACGACACTTTGTATGATTTACAAATTGTTGTTCTGAGTCTCGATGTTCTTTGTGTTCGTTTAATGTATGTTTGTTAAGTCCCCCGCGACATAGGATATATTATTCCTAATGAGGGTTGACTTCAAAAACTTTTGACTCTCTGAACAAACATCTCTAGAATAAGGTCTTCGCACCGTCATCCAAGTGTCAGAAGAAAAATCTGAATGCCAAGCGCATTCAGCGTTTCTATCCAGAAAAATCACCTCCGTAGAAATGGTAATATTTGCTTAGGGTAAAGTCAGAGAGTGTTATATTCGATAAAGATGGACTTAACGATGAAACTTGTTTAGTTTTTTAATAAAACCTACATCACAATAATCCCCTTATCTAATGGTGCGTTATCATGTCTAGTCTGCCAAACTTTGTTTTTGGCGGTTATCTCACACAATCAACTTCAGAATATGTTTTATAGATTTTTTTATGTTTGGAAGGCTTTCATAGGTAGTCATAAGAAGAGTCAGTATTAACTTGATATTTAACTGACTTCAAAGAGGAGGAGGAAGGAGGATGAAGAGGGAGTTACTCAATTCGGTAACATTTGCTCACGTTTCCTCAGTTACATCAAAACTCTGTCATTTGTGATCCGATTTGGAAAATTATTTTTTTATTTAGGAGGGTATATTTCACATTTCATTTCATTGAAATCTAAATAAAAAATACCTAAGGATGGAAAGTTAAGGAAAGAACAACTCGGTTTATTACAATTCAGCACGATGTAGGTGCATTGAAGATAGTGATTTTTTTATGAATGATTTCGAGTTACATTAGAACCATTTCATTATGACGGCCGGATGGCGTAGTGGTTTGTGGAACGGACTGCTACGCCAAAGGACGCAGGTTCGATTCCCGGTCGTTTTACGTTTTATGCATATTTGACAAATAATTTCCTTCACGTATTAATATTCAGATTACATGAAATCACTTGTAAAAAGATACCTATTTATTTATAAATTGAAGATGCATTTAAAATCAATATGTCTAATAAAGTAATCATTACATATGCATTTTACTAAAGAAACACAATTTTCTGGAGTTAAAGCACTTTGAACTAGTAAAAATAATTAATTTTTATTCATGTTAGTAACACGTTATAAATAACAAACTTTAACTATTGATTAGATTAATAAATATTTTATAGTAATAGAATGAGATGGAACTCCTGTATTGGATATTGGATGTATTGGAAATCAATTGGATAAATGCATATACCTACAATTGAAATTGAAACACATGTGTAGGTATACATTATGTATATATAATATATATTCTAATACAATATTTTCTAGATGCTAGTGTCAGATGCTAAGTGATCGTTAAGCAATGCTGCTTATTCAACTTGACCTAAGGTTAAACAATGATCGACAATTGTGTTGCTAAACCTACCATGAAGGAACTAATGTTATGTAGGTGTAAGTTTGATTGCAGTGCTTAGGTATTTGCACAAGGGAGAGGCCAGGTTTCAGCGCATAATATGGACTATCTCGACCGAAATGATAAATAAAATGAAACCTCAGAAAGCTGTGTTAATCAATTTTATTCCTTTTCTCTGCTTATCCTTTTCCCTCCATAATTCTACCGGGTTCACTCAAAGGCCTGCAACGCACATATGCTCCTTGAGTTCCTTGAGTCCATGTGGAGGTAGTCACTTAACATCACGTGACCAGTCTGCCAGTTTTGCCAAATGCAAATGTTATTGAAGTTAGGTATATATTTACCTAGAACTTGTCTTTCTATCTGTTGAGTGTCTATTATCTAACATAGGTACCTATTAGTGTTTCATTTCTTAACCTTGGCAGTAACAAGTAATATTTCGTTACGTACACTATATAAATAACAAATTTAAATAGTCTAATACGATGGGATATGCCTGTGACGTAATAATATAATAATATTTATCGAACAACGCGCGCGATTTTTCAATCATTGTTGCTGTGCTGTGTTGATTGAAGTGATGTTAAAGTACGTGTTTATATTTTATTTTCTTTCAACTTATCTAAGCGTATTCAATGAGCAACTCAGGATAAGAATAGTAAAGCAAAAATACCAATAAGGCTGTAAGTCTAAAATATCAGTAATTCGTTTTCAATAAGCATTTTTGATTCAACATCAAAAGAGAGGGATTTTTTCAAAGCGTCGGTACTCGTGACTAATGAACCTGAACGCTTTTGTGACGAGATAAAGCCAGCTTCCGAATGAGTGTGTGTTTTGACTTCATAACTTTGATATAGATGCGGCATATACATATTTGGGTTTCATTGCCATTTTTTGTAGAATTTAGACGACGTGAGTGTAATATGGAGTTTCGTGTTACTTTATCAAAAGACTGAGTTGTTGTTATGTTAAATATATCAGTATATTAATTCGTGAAGAAATTTCCTTACGTTATATTCGGCGTAATATTTACACGCACATGTACACAATCGGAATTCTTATTGAATATGTATGATGTGTCTATATTTATAAAATTAAAAAATGTGTAGAAACGGCTACACAGCGCTGTAAGTGTCTCGTATTTTTATTGTACAAGTGACTTGTCATTATGCAAGTACATTGTATGAGCAACTTACAATTAACAGTTGAAGATAAACTGGTTTATGAAATAAAACAAGAAATTCAAAACGATCAAAGTCGACCACGGCGATCTTTATTTTCAAAAATTGTGTGATTGGCCGCAACTGTGCGAAGCTTTGTGAAAATTATTAACGTCATCTAATATTGGACCCGGATCGAACGATCCGTCGACCCGTCCTAGGAACGAATTTATGTAAGACTTTAATTTTGTCTGACTCGATAACAAGTTTGTGTAACACGGAACGAAATTCTCCGACAAAAAAACATGATAAGTACATATAATCAGATTGACCTTTCATTGAGTGTAAGTGTTATATATAACATATCTCTGCGAATAATATTGTATATTACAATTTTCTAAATACTTTTCTTAGCCAGTCGAGTAAACATATTTACAATGGTAAGCGTTTGGATTTAATTGTACTCATATAAATAAATAATTTAACATATTTTAGAACTAATATTGTAATTTAATTGTTGTATGTGTAGTTTTGAGTAGATTGACATAATTATGTACGAAACTGGAATCGTGTCCGTCTGACTAGATACGAGATATTATTATATGTTACTTTATTTATAGATTATCGATACATAGACATCAATCTGTTCAACAAAATAAGATTATCCTTAAATTAAAATAAAACGCCAAATTAAAAATCCGAAATTGGCAGTTTGTATTTGCTTTTGTTTTGGATGGTTGGACCCACAAGACGAACTTAATGACAAATAATTAACTACTGGACAATATTTAGACCAGGTCTTGAACTACTCGTTCTAACTACTAGATCATTTGGTATTAGTTATTTTGAATGCTACACAGATCACATGATAATCGTATAAATAAACATGAGGTAATTACATTGACACACATATATTGACTAAGTTGAGTAAACTAGGTACTAAAGTATCTTGTATTATGGTGGATTAAAATGTCTTGATTCTTTTGATATTAAAACAGTTTTTAATTCACATCATAGATAAACTTTTTGTTTCAGAATTCGGTACTTATTTTATTCTGCGTCTTCACGTGTGTTTATGCCAAAGCTATGCAAAACACAATCGAATTGATCCCGAACACACAGACTGCCTTTGCGACCGACCCCCTCATCCAACGATCACCTGAGGATGAATTTAAGGTACGAAAGTTTTTGTAAAAACAGTTTAAGTATTTAAATTAAATATAACGTATTTATTTTTATATTAAAATGATGGTATATAGCTATGAGTAAATTTGAATAATTTGATTCAATGCAATGATTACAATGTACTTATCAAATGTCAGACGCAGTTACAATTTATCTATTTATTACATGACTGTAAAGGTCATCCACATGTAGGTATGTATGTATGTGTTATACATATATATACAGGAAGCTTATAGTAGATAATACATAAATATTTATCGGTTCATTTTAAACCACCATCGTTTTAAACCACTTTCTCCACGTAGTCAAACTGGGTAGTCAAACTAATTTGTCATACAGGAATTATTTTTCCAGATGGTCAAACTTCTCGGATAATGGACTCTTGTTTTAATTATCATATACAATTGAGTACAGTGATGATAAAAAACATTAGTCATTTGTATTATATTGCCAAAGTTTCCTGTTTTGATTTTATTGAATGGCCTCTAGTTTGTAGAAATAAATAAAATTGAAGTGTCTGTTTGTAATGTCAAAGTAATAGGTTATTTTCCCCCTCACCAGTTTCAATATTTTTTGACTGTCTGCCAGTCTGTTTGTGCCGGGTACTCTTTAAAACGGCTGGACCGATTTTATTAATTTTTTAGTACCGAGTAGCTGTCTACATAAGGAGCAACTTAGGCTATTTTTTCTCTCAAGAAAACCTTATAGAATTTAGCCTGGTCCGGGAATCACTTCGGAAAAAGAAGGCACAGTATTACTTCACGATGGGCGGTAATATTACCAATTAAGAACTTATGAAAATTGGAAAACTTTTTGGACATGCAGCTGCCTAAAAATAATTGAAAGTATAATCATGGGACTATGTACAGCTCTCCCTTTATTACCTGCAGATAAGATGGACCCCGGGAGAACCTTAAATTGAAGAAGAGGATCAGTAAGTAAAACGGCTTAACAAATATTTTGAAAATACATGGGTGAAGGACACATCGTCCAAATTCAATGGTCTGTATATAGCGTCAATCGAGTCATCGTACCAATAATACGGTCGAAAGCTTATAGCTTAACAAGATAACGTTCGATTACAGTCGCACGTTTGTTTTAAACATTACTGAAATTGGATTAAAATGACAACGAGGTTCGCTGTCAGCTCCGAAGGAAAATATCAGCAGAGAACAATTTATAATGAATTATTCCATAAAGAAACAAGTATTGGTCATTTTCTTGATAGACTACGTTAAATAAAATTTAAGTTTCAAAATTTAATTATGTTTTATAATAGAATTCATTTTTTGTTGACTGTATTTTCCCTCATCAAAGATAATTTGACCGTCCGGAAAAATATTCCTGCTGGACAAATTAGTTTGGCTACCCAGTTTGACCACGTCGATAAAGCGTTTTAAACGTGCCATTGTTTAGGCCCCCCTCACCTATTACTTACAGGTAGTCACTATACTATGCGTACTTACGCGACTTTATTTACTTTAACGTTAAATAAGACTTTAAATAAAAATAATACTCTATTAATTGAAATTTAATTTAAAGTTCATGCAAGCAATATACTTGGGGCATACTGAAAGTCTCTGGACCTGGCTACTTACAATAAAACAATGAAAAAGACAATTATGGCATAAAATGGCACTCTTTGGGAACATGTTACTTTTTAATTTGCGAGATTGTCATTTGTTTTTTCATTGTGACATCCTTTCAAAAATTGTGTGTCACTATCAAAGTGAATTTAACTCGTGAAAATTTTTGTTCAATGATTTTCGTTATTACGTATTATGACTTAAGTCAATAAGAGAGTTGCGAGAGACTTCAATTGGCATTTGATGATTAAGCACCATGTCGCAGCTCTATGTATTCGTGGTTTGGAGAATTTAAACGTGGACATGATGATCTCCATGACGAGGTACGTGAAGGTCGGCCGGCGACTGCGGTTGCAGACTCTAATATTGACACCGTACGACAACTGATTGAAACTGACAAAAAAATTACTTGCCAGCAAATTCGTGCTTTGTTAAGCATTGGAATGAGCCAAGTTCAAAACATTTTTCTGAATGTTCGGAAGCTTTGCACGCGATGGATACCGCATGACTTAACGAAGGACAAGAAACGACTGCGTGTCCAGTGGTGCCATAAAATGATAAAAAGTTTAACGGAGGATAGTCATTGGCTGTCTATAATATCGTGGCAAATGAAAAAATCGGTACGTCAACACTTGCTTGCCAGAGTCTTAGAAAAAGTTTGTCAAAAGCGTCCTCGAAGCAATGTCCTCCTTCACCACGATAACGCATCCTCACATTCCGCTAGGGTAGCAGAAGCCTATTTGAAGGCTTCAAATATGGAACTGATCGCCTTGCAGCCCGGACCTCGCACCCTGCGCCTCCTCATTGTTTTCAAAAATTAGAGACAAACTTAAGGGCACACTTTTAAGAGTCCTGAATCGGCGGTGAAACCATTGAAGCCCTAAGAAAGACTGGTCCAAATGCTTTGTACAGCGGTTTCAGCGAATGCAAAAATGCATAATTGCGAGGGAATATACTTTGAAAAACATAGTACTAGTCTTATTTATCAGAATCCAGAAACTTTCAATACGCTTTAAGTATTTTACCTTACCTTACCCACGAATAATGCTTAAGAAAGAAGCCTATAAATGGTTAAAAAAAAGAAAAACAGAATTACTTTCTGAGTGATACTAATTACAGTATTTTATAGTCCGGAGAGACTTGAATGTTCTTATAATTATTTCAGACAGATCCACCAGTCATCTGTAAAATTACAACTGTTTGCGCCTGGTCTTTGTATAACCCCAAGACCCAGGAAGTGGAAAGGGCATCAATTAACCCAACGTAAGTCTACTTTAAACTTCTTTTGTTTGTTTTCGTCTTTTTAATACATTGAATGGCAGCATGCTTTAAAAATATTAGTTTTACTGCATGCATGAGTGTTTATCCTTAAGGTAAAAATAGAACTCTGGGAACGAGTGACCGATATATATATAATAAACACAATACAAGTTTCCTAATGCAATGTAGTGACAAAGACATTAAGTCTTAAGAGGACCTGAATAGCATATTTTCATTAAGTGTATAGTTATTGCTTTTTTACGGGAGACTTATCATTAATATTATCCTCTTTTTTACAGATGTATATGCGGTCCCGGCAAAATCTGTAAAGTTGTTTCGGTAAATTTGGCAGCACACATTACTCATAGCCGATGTGTGTCGTCTGAGCAGTAATAATATTAGATATTGGAGCAAGCTCTACTACATACGTCATAAATTCATGTTACTAACTAACTATTCATTGTAACTATTGCTTTTTCTATTAATCTAAGAGATAATCTGATATTTTCTTTTTCAGTATCCAGTTTTACTTTTATTTTGCTTCATTTGTTCATATTATACAGTTTCGGTGTAACAATTATATTAATTATATTATTGGAATCAGAAATGGAAGGATACACAGATGAACGAAGATTATAGACATATCCCCACGGTCGGCAATATAAATCTGAATCAAAAATCAGCCGGACTTCGCAGAATAAACGGAGGCCCATATTTTTCTGAAAATCTATACATAATAAATAAGTTTTTAAAATGGGCATTTATGCTCGTAATAGAAAATCATTTTTACAGAATGGGAATAAACATCTAATCGAAATTCTGCAGATCCCCTGCCTACACCCTTGTTGATGTTTATTTCTTTAAAATAATTATTTTAATATATTTGTTGATTGATTATAAGTTTCTTGTATTGAAAAATTGGATTTGTGCAAGAGCCACTCAACAAAAGCACTAACATTTAATAGACGAATACTGCAGGAATAAGGTTCTTTCATGAAAATGTTCAACTAAAAGTTTAAAAGTAGTCTACATTGATTTAAATTTTCACTAATAGCCGACAGGATCGCTACAGAATTCAATAATATTGGCGAAATGGTTCAGAGAGAATTCAATAAGATTGAAATTGAGAGTCGGTGAAGTAATATCGTCAAAAGCCAATTTCCCTTCATTAAGAACGCGTTCAAATTCAAATGGCAATGAAAAAACCTCCAACGCTACCCCTAGCTACTCCACCCTGGCGATTGGCTATTCAAAACAATTTTCGAGTCCGATTATACGACGGCAATATTAATAAGTATTTTTATATCAGAAATAGCTGAAAAAAAATGAAGATTTCGTGAGATTTTTTTTGTCATAGCTTGGTAATGCAAAAAAATGTGTAAAACATATTTCTTCATTTTCCATACAATAATAAAGAGTACTTTTTTATATAAATGAATATACTATTGTATTTTGTGATTACTTTGTACAAAGAATGCCTGTATAAACAATAGGTTAGGTTAACTTAACACACAGTTAAAGAACACAAAAAACAGAATAAAAATCGTTGCAAACAGATTTTCTAAGGCTTGTACATTGAAATAAATTAAATCGTAACAAATTGTTGTTCAGAAGACGACTTTATTAAATTCCATACTCTATCTACCTACTTACAATACCGAATTTATAAAGGTTAACAAAAAAAAACTGGTCTGTAATCAAGAATTATAGGAATCTTCCGTTGTAAATTGCGTAAACAAAATTAAAACAACTGTCTGTAAATGTGGGGATGAACATTAACAAGTTTTGTGGCGCGTTGGTTGCATATTCAACTGCCACGCCGGGGGTCCGCAGTGCCGCGATCCCAGCTCAGTGCAAATATCGTATGATACATTAATTATTTCTATATATGTAGAGTACGTTTAGCCTTGTTCTAGAAACCATAGTGGAGGCTCGGTTTAGTTTGGGCTTAAATATTCATGTGTAAAACATACTAGATAATATATATGTCACGACAAATAAATTTATAAATACCGTTAGATACTAATTTATCTAAAGATTGTGAACCGGAAAATACTGTTACAATTTAACGCATTATTTTAAATATATTTTAACGTAACGTAACGTAAAGTATACACGTGAAACCGTTAAATTGTGAATTTTTAATGATTGATCCTCTTTTTCTGAGACATAATCAAATAATAGGCGATTGCAGGATATAGGCAGAGGCCTATATGTTCAGCAGTGGCCTTCGAGAGTTCATAATCTCGCAAGACATATTATATTTTGTGTTATTTTGGAATTCTGGACTTTGTGATTGGGTAAAGTGATTGTTAAGCGAACACTTAGCACATTCGTGTTTTAAAAGTAAATTCTATAATGGTATAGTATGATTGAAAGAAATACTAAGGCGGCCGAATAGCATTATGAGGCCCAAGTGCGAGTTTATTTTACATCTACTTGATCGTCACGGTGACCGCGATGGCAACGCTTTTTTTTTGTCTTGTGCGGAAATCCCCTCGGATACCACCCATCGGTCTCAAAACCGCAAGCCGTCTCGGGTACCAGTAGCCGGGGAAACAGGTGTACCCTAGAAAGGAAATCCCTGGTACTCCGACGTACCTCGGGCCATCCACGGCGTGTAGATGACCCCCTCCTGTGTGGGAACCCCCATGTTCCCTTTGTGCTCTCAAAAGGGTGCTCGCGCTCTGCAGCGCTTCTCTCCGCCTCTCCGGCCTGCTTCCGCAAGCAAAACTTGCTCGCAGAAGGAGACGGTGGAGTTTCACGCACTCTCGGTCCGTACCATAACGGCAATCATACTACCGAGCGAGAGGACTCCCACTCCGATGGCCATCACGAGGAGGCCAACGTCTGGAGAGCCGTGTCCACGGTCCGGCCATCGCAGTGGTGGCACTCAGGCGTTGGCTCCTTGCGGATCAGACACAGGTGATCTCTGAAACAACCTTTCCCGGTCATCACCTGCGTCAGCCGGTATGAGAGGGTTCCGTGACATCTCTCGAGCCAATCCTCCATAACGGGTATTTCCGCCACAATAACGGCGTTCCACTCATCTACGAGGACCTGGCGGAGCTGGGATTTCTGATTCTCGATTTATCGAGTCTCAGGACTTCGAAATTCGAAATCGCACTTGGCTCTATGTAGTATTAGCTGTATATTTAAATATTATTTGATATTGCTATTTATTAATAAATTTACTATATCTACAACACTGTTACTAGATTCATTTGCAACTAATTTACAATATTGTAAACAAAGCTAAAACTATCAAGTTGGATTTGGTAACAAAAGTACGATGATAAACGTAAGTTTTTTTTTACGTTAAATTTTTAGCAATTTGCCTTTTGATTAAATAGTTTTTTTATTTTTGCCAAACATTTATTTATTTATTTGCATGCTATATTATGCCTTTACTTTTAAATGCTTTCTTTTCATAGTAAAGCAAATTTTTTTCGAGGAATTCTTATCCAATTTTTGAGTGTCATTGTACTGTAATGTGATTTATGTAGATAAAGCCACTTGTTGATATTTTTGTTGGAGTAATGAAGCAAAAACAGTTACATTTATTATTCATACAATTATATTTGCAAGTCGTGAAGTCTTTAGGCTAGTCTCCACTAATGAGTGTCATGTTAACTGTAATGATGATAACATTTTCTTTTTAAATATAATTATCTACTAATTTTGTCCTCGACCCGATGACGTGTATGTAGATTTGTTCAATCATCAATAGTCAAGTATTCCTTGCCTTTTTCGGAAGAAAAGGCACTTGTCTCAGATTTTCTTAGTTCTTACATATTATCAGGAGCACAGAAAAGGACATAGGTATTGTTTTCTCTAAGCCAAGGGTAAAAGATGCTTTAAATTACATGTTAGTAAGCATTACTGTGCTAACTTTTTGTTTTTATTGATAGACTACACAGTTTTATAAAATGAGTCAAAATCAAAATTGAGACTAGTCCTTAATATGTTGTAATTTCTCTATATTTATTATAATTCCCTATACTTTTTCGTATCCTTGTCAGAAATAGATCAGAATGTTTTTACGTAAAACCTCTTCACACTATTTTTCCAATTATTAGCAACAAGTCGCAGCAGGTCATTGCCCTCTCCCAATTTCCGCCATTTGTGAATACTCTAGTCTATCTTCTTTTTCCCTCGAAATTACTTTATTTAATTAAATTGAGTAAAAGTAAATGAAATCAAGTCTGAGGATGTAGTTTTGGTTTTAATGAATATTTTCTTATTAAAACTGACAGAAAATTGTACTCTGTGTAACATCGTCAATTCACCACATATTACAATCGTATGATATTATCATATAAAATTACGTTAAGTCTATTCCGTTAGAGTACGAATTACTACCGAACATTAGAGGAATATCAATTTCTTCAGTTATACAAATCAAGCAAAAGTCGGTAGGTACAATAATTACGCACGAATAACGCGTCATCTTATTTACAAACATAAAGTAATTCCCAAAGAGGGCTGTTTGTCATTTTACTATATTCCCGCAGAATCTTTCACTTGTGCATATGTTAGTCACGTACAGGCCTTTTTTTTTTTTTTTTTTTTTTTTTAACGTGTGGAAATCCCCTCGGACCGTCACCCCTCCGGGGTTTGCGGCGGGGTGGTGTGTCGGACTCGGACCGACTAAAACCACACGGTGTGCCACTCTGCGCCTGTAACAGGAGGGATCCGGGAACAGCTGTTGTTAAGACATCCGGACCCCTCCTAGCGCCAGCCCGCTCCTGGTGCGGGCTCCGTCTCAATGTGGATGTTCCTCTCTTTAGGCGACGTCCGGCACACGCGGACGCCGCCCCCTCGCGGCTGGCCAACTAATGCGGGTGGAGGGGAAACCCACCCCGTCCACCCGCGGCCACACTCAGGGCGGCATGAGGCTGTGGTAGGCGGGCCTCCGCCGCCCGGTTCGCCGGCGGCGGATCGGGTCCGAGTGGAGGTCGTCCTCCCGGGCCCTTTCCGCCGCCTCCTTCCGCGAGATTACTACCTCGCAGAAGGTTGCGACCGCGGTAAAACAACTGTCGCTACCGGCCATGGAGCGTACTACGGCCGGTAGCGAGAGATCCACTCCGATGACTGCAGTGAGGGCCCGGCGCTGCGCCGCCCATGCGGGGCAGACCGCCAGCGTGTGCTGGGCCGAGTCCTCACTGCAGTCGCAGTGGTGGCAGGCGGGACTCAGTTCCCTCCCAGCGACCGTGTGCAGGTACTTTCCGAAGCAACCATGCCCGGAAAGCACCTGCGTCAGTCGGAAGGAAAGGGTCCCGTGCTGCCGCCCTGCCCACTCGGCGATGACCGGCTGGAGAGCCTCCACGGCGGCGAAGCCAGCGCGTGGAGTCTCCAGCCGGAACGACCAACGAGCCATCGTGGCTCGGCGA